GTGTGGGATAATGACTGGTGGGGGTGGGGAGGGTAATGACTGGTGGGGATGTGGGGGTAAAGCTGGGGGGGAGTGTGGGGGGTAATGATGGTGGGGGGTGGGGAGGGTTTTAAAGATGGGGGGGAGTGTGGAGGGTAAAGATGGTGGGGAGGGGTGGGGGTAATGATGGGGGGAGTGTGGGGGTAATGACTGGGGGGAAATGGGAGGGGGAATGATGGTGGGGGGTGGGGGAGGGGAATGTGGGGGGGGAGTGTGGGGGGTAATGACTGGGGGGGAGGTGGAGGGGAATGACTGGGGGGGGAAGTGTGGGGTAATGAGTGGGGTGTGGGGCGTAATGGCTGGGGGGAGGGGAGGGGTTTTAATGACTGGGGGGGGGTGGGAGGGTAATGACTGGTGGGGAGGGGGAGGGTAATGAGGTGGTGAGACAGCCTGTACTGTCCGCACAGACAGCCCAGTGTCTGCCAGCTTTTTCATATTTCGCGCCACTAGTTTTGCCCTCTGTAGAGGCCTTCGGTAGGGCACGCCAGCCCGTCTGCCCTTTCCTCGCCCTCACTCAACAGCGGCCTGCAGGAAGACACAAGTACTATAGCTCTCTCTCGGGGATGGCCCGCCCGGGCCATGGGGGACAAACACACAAGCCTGTGTACCCCCCCACAACTTAACAATAAAGTAAGAAGCCCCCGAAGACGTATCATTTAAACCCCCCGCTTGAGACCTACCAAACAAGCCCCTTTAAATGGTTCCAGCGGTGTCGCAGCTGTGTTTTTGCCCAAAACGAGGAAGGAAGGGGTGAAGTCATTTCATTTTCACCCCCTGCAAGAAGATCCGGGGCTTCAACAGTTATCCTGAGTTGTGTCTGCACTTTGAGCACCAGAACAGGTCACGCAGGTCCAGGCCGAAAAATTTTCCGAAATTCCGGAATTTTAAATGCGTTACAGTGACCCCCCGAAAAGGTCCCAGTAGGTCCCACGGAATCACGTGTTCAGCGTCACTTGTTGTTGTGTTGTTGTTACCAGCAAGCTGTTTACAAGCTAGAGGTGAGTTTGTGGTATTTCTGTTCAGTGGAGCTTTCCCGTGTTTTTGGGGAGAAGGGGGGGAATGGCCAGATACTCGCCCTGGCCCTACACTCCCCACGTCCTTGCCACCACACTACCATCAAACCCTCACCACTGCCCCCCTCCCTCTGTGTGTTTTCTGCTGTTTTTCGGTGGGCAGCCCAAAGGCTGTGTACGAGTGCCCGAGGCCACTCGAAGCTCTGGATCAGCATGCCACGAGATCACGACACCACGTGGATCACGACGCCACGTGGGGGTGGGCGATGTCCGTAGACCCACGAGCTAGTGAGTTACCAATGTACCAGGCCATCTGGGCTGCTGCCCGCATCACATTACGTCCCCCCCACATGTCTGCCTGACGTCACCTCGAATGCCTGTGACGTCATGGGGTGCTGACGTCACCCCGCGACATCACGCCTGAATCACATGATGTCACTCGGTGTTTTAGTAATTATTTTAAAATTTTGAGAAGACTGAAAAGATATATGTGGGTTAAATTTTTTCCTCTAGTCATGTTCCAAATTTTTGTATATGTCTTAGTGTCAGTTTTTGCACGAAAAGCATCATTTGCTAGTTTTTGCCCTGAACTGGGGGGTTTTTTTTTAAAGTTTCCGTGTGTCCAGTAAGGTTGAGAACCCGAGTCACCACTGTGGGTTTAAATCCCGTGTGACCAGTGTTTGACAAAACTGATGTCAAAACAGCCCGAGGATGAGCCCCCCTTTTTACAGAAATTTTTTTTGCCGTCGCTCGTGATGTTCTGCAGATCCTACTGCTACGATTTCCCATCGAATTTTTTTTCCTTCACCTCCAGACCGCAGGTGCAGTTTTATGTAGAGAAACAAATGGGGGGACGCTTTGATAACCCGCTTAACTCCAACTTCGAGAATGAACTCTCAAACCGCCCCGTCAGGCCTGTCGGCAGGCGGGTGTGTCAGCCTCGTGTCACAAGCTTCAGTGAGCACCGCACAAAAGGGGATGAAATTTGACGCTAGCTCTCTCACTGGTCTGGTGTATGATGTTCGCCCCAATGTTTGCCCCGTCGTCTTGCCACGACTCGCTCCACAACTTGCTCCACGCTCCAGCAGTGACAGACCAGCACAGTACCCGTCGAGAATGTCCCGAGTCGTTGCCAGAAGTCCTGCCTAGTTGCCGAAATTTTTTTTACGCCTCACCGAGGGGCCCCGCATGTCGTGCCCCAGGGGGGGGGAAACTGCAGCGCTTACGATGACTGCATCACCGTTCCCGAGGAGACCGTAACTGTTACGTCACAGCTCAGCCGCAGCGTTTTTTGTGTTCAGTATCTGTCCAGACGAGGAAGGGGGTGCGTGTTGCACTTCATGCTCACCCCTATGACCCATGTTTAGCACACCCCACATGTTTTTTCTTCCTCCCTGTAGGGAAATTTTTTTTCCTGTCCAATGTATTATTGTTTTTTTTTTTGTTTCTGTGCCTGTTCCTGAGAAGACGAGTTTCTTTTTCCACCCTTTGTCGCATCGGGACGATCCCCGGTAGGGGCCGAGCGTATGTAGAAGCCTGTACTGTTGCCAGACAGCCCCTGCTGTCTGCCAGCTTAGTTCATATTTCACGCCACTCAGATGCTGCCCTCTGTAGTCAGGCCTCTCGGTAGGCACGCCAGCCTGTCTGCCCTTGCCTCGCCCTCACTCACACAGCGGCCTAGCAGGAAGACACAAGTACTAGTAGCTCTCGTGGGATGGCCCTGCCCGGGCCATGGGTAATGACTGGTGGGGAGTGTGGAGGGTAATGACTGGTGGGGAGTGGGGAGGGTAATGACTGGTGGGGAGTGTGGAGGGTAATGACTGGTGGGGAGTGGGGAGGGTAATGACTGGTGGGGAGTGTGGAGGTAATGACTGGTGGGAGTGGGGAGGGTAATGACTGGTGGGAGTGTGGAGGGTAATGACTGGTGGGGAGTGGGGAGGGTAATGACTGGTGGGGAGGGTAATGACTGGTGGGGAGTGGGGAGGGTAATGACTGGTGGGGAGTGGGGAGGGTAATGACTGGTGGGGAGTGGGGAGAGTAATGACTGGTGGGGAGTGTGGAGGGTAATGACTGGTGGGAGTGGGGAGAGTAATGACTGGTGGGAGTGTGGAGGGTAATGACTGGTGGGGAGTGTGGAGGGTAATGACTGGTGGGGAGTGGGGAGAGTAATGACTGGTGGGGAGTGGGGAGAGTAATGACTGGTGGGGAGTGGGGAGGGTAATGACTGGTGGGGAGTGGGGAGGGTAATGACTGGTGGGGAGTGTGGAGGGTAATGACTGGTGGGGAGTGTGGAGGGTAATGACTGGTGGGGAGTGGGGAGAGTAATGACTGGTGGGGAGTGGGGAGAGTAATGACTGGTGGGGAGGGTAATGACTGGTGGGGAGTGGGGAGAGTAATGACTGGTGGGGAGTGGGGAGAGTAATGACTGGTGGGGAGGGTAATGACTGGTGGGGAGTGGGGAGAGAGAGGGAGTGAGTGATCTATGATATTAGCTAAGGTAGGATAGCAGATCTATCTCTCTATCTATATCTATCTCTGTCTTTGTATTTCTCTATTTCTCTCTAACTTTATCGTTAACTTACGTAATTTATTTTGAAGTTGGAAATAAAAGTCTCGTAGCAGCGGGAACCTCTTTATTGCGACGTGTTCACCAAAGTTTGACTTAGGGGGGGTAAATACACTGCTTATAGACTGGTCAGCATCCTGTGCTCAAACCTGGAGACACACAGCATAAGAAGGAACACTGCGGCAGGTCTACTGGCCTATGCGTGGCAGGTCCAAGTCACCCACCGGCCCAAGCCTAGTCAGGGCAGGTCACATCCACTTAAGGAAGGAGCACAGGATCAGACCGTGCTCTTTCAGGTCCGACGGGTCAGGTCAGGTCAGGTGACAGCCTAGAATTACTGCTCATTGGGTAATGTGTTAAGTTGTGGTGGATGATTGTTGGTGGATGATTGTTGGTGGATGATTGTTGGTGGATGATTGTTGGTGGATGGGTGTTGGTGAAAGGTTGTGGGAGTGCAAGCCAGGTCTGGTGTGCTGGGGGAGTGTAAGCCAGGTGTGATGTGCTGGGGAGTGTAAGCCAGGTGTGGTGTGCTGGGGAAGTGTAAGCCAGGTGTGGTGTGCTGGGGAAGTGTAAGCCAGGTGTGATGTGCTGGGGGAGTGTAAGCCAGGTGTGATGTGCTGGGGAAGTGTAAGCCAGGTGTGATGTGCTGGAAGAGTGTAAGTCAGGTGTGATGTGCTGGGGGAGTGTAAGCCAGGTGTGATGTGCTGGAAGAGTGTAAGTCAGGTGTGATGTGCTGGAGAGTGTAAGCCAGGTGTGATGTGCTGGAAGAGTGTAAGTCAGGTGTGATGTGCTGGAGAGTGTAAGCCAGGTGTGATGTGCTGGAAGAGTGTAAGTCAGGTGTGATGTGCTGGGGAGTGTAAGCCAGGTGTAGTGTGCTGGGGAAGTGTAAGCCAGGTGTGATGTGCTGGAGAGTGTAAGCCAGGTGTGATGTGCTGGAAGAGTGTAAGTCAGGTGTGATGTGCTGGGGGAGTGTAAGCCAGGTGTAGTGTGCTGGGGAAGTGTAAGCCAGGTGTGGTGTACTGGGGGAGTGCATATCAGGTGTGGTGTGCTGGAGGAGTGTAAGTCAGGTGTGGTGTGCTGGAGGAGGGCAAGCCAGGTGTGGTGTGCCGGAGGAGGGTAAGTCAGGTGTGGTGTGCTGGAGGAGGGTAAGTCAGGTGTGGTGTGCTGGAGGAGTGTAAGTCAGGTGTGGTGTGCTGGAGGAGGGTAAGTCAGGTGTGGTGTGCTGGAGGAGGGTAAGTCAGGTGTGGTGTGCTGGAAGAGTGTAAGTCAGGTGTGATGTGCTGGGGGAGTGTAAGCCAGGTGTGATGTGCTGGAAGAGTGTAAGTCAGGTGTGATGTGCTGGGGGAGTGTAAGCCAGGTGTAGTGTGCTGGGGAAGTGTAAGCCAGGTGTGGTGTACTGGGGGAGTGCATATCAGGTGTGGTGTGCTGGAGGAGTGTAAGTCAGGTGTGGTGTGCTGGAGGAGGGCAAGTCAGGTGTGGTGTGCTGGAGGAGGGTAAGTCAGGTGTGGTGTGCTGGAGGAGGGTAAGTCAGGTGTGGTGTGCTGGAGGAGGGTAAGTCAGGTGTGGTGTGCTAGGCAAGCAACAAGCACCCAGCAACACCTCCAGAATGAAGGATGCTGCTGAGATGAGGAGACCTAGCAACAGCAGGAAGAGAGGCCCCTGAAGGTGGACCAGAGTCAGGGCCATCGTGGCCCTAGCAGGGACGTCCAAGACTCCACCTCCCAGATGCTGCACATCTCCCACATGCTTCTCCTTCATCTTCTGCAGAGCCTCCAGCCTCGCCTTCTCCCGTGCGTCAGACGTCCACTTGTTGATAAGACCAGCCTGAAAAATATTTATATTAAGAGGTTATAAGAGGCTGTCACCTCACTGAAATGACTAAATCAGCAACTATCAGCAGCATGTGTCAGCAGCATGTGTCAGCAGCATGTGTCAGCAGAGTCAGTCCATCACTGCTGCAGCATCTGTCTCATCATTGAAGATTAACAAAATTGGGAAACTCTGAATAGGTGAAAATCAGGAGTCTAACCAGAGAAAGTAGGTCCTCCTTTCTGTAGTGAAAGTTTAACATTACTTTAAAGAAATATGGTCGTACTACGTCTTGGAGAGTAGTACTTACCTCTCGGAGAGTCGTACTTACCTCTTGTAGAGTTGTACTTAGATCTTGCAGAGTCGCACTTACCTCTCGGAGAGTCGTACTTCTTGGAGAGTCTTACTTAGCTCTTGGAGAGTCGTACTTACGTCGTGGAGAGCCAATATATAACGGTCAAGGGTGTGCTTGAAGGGAGCGTCCCTAATCAAGGGATAAGCACAGTATCCGGGCATGATGTTCTGACGAGCCACGTACAGTCTGGTAGTCCCCGAGGCGTCCGTGAAGTGTTCACTGATCAACTGCTCCATGTGCAACCTCTCGAATAGGTACGCCTTGCTATGAACGGGCGGAAGAGCGGGCGATAGTGCATTAAACAGGGCGTCCACGTACGTGTACTAAAACTACGTACAGAGGAAGGGATGACTTATCATAAAATCGTATCCCCCCAAAAATGATAATTTTGGATCTAAGATACTACAAAAGTAGTTGGTAAAACGCAACACAAACATTTAAACTCTTCAGCTGGTCTTAAATTCCCCTTAAAATGGCGTTTTGAGTGACATTAAACCTTGAAAATAAATTACCCTGGATGACTTTTAAATGGAAAGAAAATATATAACACTCACTTCATCTCCAGCGACTGTCTCATTCCCACTTCGTGGTTTGGAACGAAGTCAACTCTCTCGCTCAGGGTCTTCAAGACGGGCGAGTCGGAGGTCTTGAAGCTGTCGTAGAAGTCCACGGTGTCTGGGGGCATCGTTACCCTTATGACAAGAAGTTAGGGATTTAATTAAAGGTTGTTTAGTAGACCAGATTGTTCGTTGTAAAGAAAGAGATGGGATTATGTGTTGTTCATTGGAACAGAAGGATTGTTATGAAGGAACTCGTGGGTACGGGAGCTGATTCTTACACATCCACACACAACCTACCTGGCTCCACTAGCAACAAGTTGCTCCACGTTCTCTGGTCTGGCTGGGTATTTGGGCACGGTCAGAAAGGCAGTGAGATTGCCACGATAAGCTGTACCCAAGATGAAGGCGAATACCAGCCATGCTGCCACCAACAGCCTTGTTGAACTGGTGCTGGGAAGACCTCTGGAGTAAGCCTGTCCCAACAACACCCCCACCACCAACTCCAGAACAATCTTACCACTCCACTTCCTCTCTCCAGACTCCCGTCCCCACCTAACCCACTCAATCTGTCAGAGTAACCAGTTAGTTCTTCGTGGACACCTTATAAAGAGAATATATACACTAAAATGTGTATGTCTCACTGTATATATATATACTGAAAAGTGTCTCAGTGTGTATATATATACACAGAGTTTACTATAATCCCTCTGTTTTAGGAATTATAATATTCTTGACTGGTGGTGAACGGGTAACATGGCAGATTTAATAACCCTCGTGTAGTTGATAGACTTTTAATCTCATTACTTTACCTTAACTATCAGGACAATTAACAAGAACGAGAGAACAAGTGCAGTACCTGAACATTTATAATGTTTCCTCCCCACCCCAAACCAGTTACCACTATGGAGAACGACCCAAAGAAAGAAACACATTCACCATGATTCATTCAGTAGCTGGGATGTCACAATCCACATGACCTTCCCAACTGCAGCATTTGATATCCTTCAGAGTACCCGCACTCTACTTCCTACCTCCAGGACTCTCTTCAGAGTACCCGCACTCTACTTCCTACCTCCAGGACTCTCTTCAGAGTACCCGCACTCTACTTCCTACCTCCAGGACTCTCTTCAGAGTACCCGCACTCTACTTCCTACCTCCAGGATTCTCTTCAGAGTACCCGCACTCTACTTCCTACCTCCAGGATTCTCTTCAGAGTACCCGCACTCTACTTCCTACCTCCAGGATTCTCTTCAGAGTACCCGCACTCTACTTCCTACCTCCAGGACGCTCTTCACAGTACCCGCACTCTACTTCCTACCTCCAGGACTCTCTTCAGAGTACCCGCTCTCTACTTCCTACCTCCAGGATTCTCTTCAGAGTACCCGCACTCTACTTCCTACCTCCAGGACGCTCTTCAGAGTACCCGCACTCTACTTCCTACCTCCAGGATTCTCTTCAGAGTACCCGCACTCTACTTCCTACCTCCAGGACTCTCTTCAGAGTACCTGCACTCTACTTCCTACCTCCAGGATTCTCTTCAGAGTACCCGCACTCTACTTCCTACCTCCAGGACTCTCTTCAGAGTACCCGCTCTCTACTTCCTACCTCCAGGACCCCTCTTCAGAGTACCCGCACTCTACTCCTACCTCCAGGACTCTCTTCAGAGTACCCGCTCTCTACTTCCTACCTCCAGGACTCTCTTCAGAGTACCCGCTCTCTACTTCCTACCTCCAGGATTCTCTTCAGAGTACCCGCACTCTACTTCCTACCTCCAGGATTCCCTTCAGAGTACCCGCACTCTACTTCCTACCTCCAGGACTCTCTTCCGAGTACCCGCTCTCTACTTCCTACCTCCAGGACTCTCTTCAGAGTACACGCTCTCTACTTCCTACCTCCAGGATTCTCTTCAGAGTACCCGCACTCTACTTTCTACCTCCAGGACTCTCTTCAGAGTACCCGCACTCTACTTCCTACCTCCAGGACTCTCTTCCGAGTACCCGCTCTCTACTTCCTACCTCCAGGATTCCCTTCAGAGTACCCGCACTCTACTTCCTACCTCCAGGATTCTCTTCAGAGTACCCGCTCTCTACTTCCTACCTCCAGGATTCCCTTCAGAGTACCCGCACTCTACTTCCTACCTCCAGGACTCTCTTCAGAGTACCCGCTCTCTACTTCCTACCTCCAGGACTCTCTTCAGAGTACCCGCACTCTACTTCCTACCTCCAGGACTCTCTTCAGAGTACCCGCTCTCTACTTCCTAACTCCAGGACTCTCTTCAGAGTACCCGCTCTCTACTTCCTACCTCCAGGATTCTCTTCAGAGTACCCGCACTCTACTTCCTACCCCCAGGACGCTCTTCAGAGTACCCGCACTCTACTTCCTACCTCCAGGATTCTCTTCAGAGTACCCGCACTCTACTTCCTACCTCCAGGATCCTCTTCAGAGAGTCCCTGCACTCTACTTCCTACCTCCAGGATTCTCTTCAGAGTACCCGCACTCTACTTCCTACCTCCAGGACTCTCTTCAGAGTACCTGCTCTCTACTTCCTACCTCCAGGACTCTCTTCAGAGTACCCGCCCTACTTCCTACCTCCAGGACCTCTTCACAGTACCCGCACTCTACTTCCTACCTCCAGGATTCTCTTCAGAGTACCCACTCTCTACTTCCTACCTCCAGGATTCTCTTCAGAGTACCCGCACTCTACTTCCTACCCCCAGGACGCTCTTCAGAGTACCCGCACTCTACTTCCTACCTCCAGGATTCTCTTCAGAGTACCCGCACTCTACTTCCTACCTCCAGGACTCTCTTCAGAGTACCTGCACTCTACTTCCTACCTCCAGGATTCTCTTCAGAGTACCCACACTCTACTTCCTACCTCCAGGACTCTCTTCAGAGTACCCGCACTCTACTTCCTACCTCCAGGACTCTCTTCAGAGTACCCGCTCTCTACTTCCTACCTCCAGGACTCTCTTCAGAGTACCCGCTCTCTACTTCCTACCTCCAGGATTCTCTTCAGAGTACCTGCACTCTACTTCCCACCTCCAGGATTCTCTTCAGAGTACCCGCACTCTACTTCCTTCCTCCAGGACTCTCTTCCGAGTACCTGCACTCTACTTCCTACCTCCAGGACTCTCTTCAGAGTACCCACACTCTACTTCATACCTCCAATATTCTCTTCAGAGTATTCGCACTCTACTTCCTACCTCCAGGATTCTCTTCAGAGTACCCGCACTCTACTTCCTACCTCCAGGACTCTCTTCAGAGTACCCACACTCTACTTCCTACCTCCAGGACTCTCTTCAGAGTACCCGCACTCTACTTCCCACTTCCAGGATTCTCTTCAGAGTACCCGCACTCTACTTCCTACCTCCAGGATTCTCTTCAGAGTACCCGCACTCTACTTCCTACCTCCAGTACTCTCTTCAGAGTACCCGCACTCTACTTCCTACCTCCAGGATTCTCTTTAGAGTACCCGCACTCTACTTCCTACCTCCAGGATTCTCTTTAGAGTACCCGCACTCTACTTCCTACCTCCAGGACTCTCTTTAGAGTACCTGCACTCTACTTCCTACCTCCAGGACTCTCTTCAGAGTACCTGCACTCTACTTTCTACCTCCAGGACTCTCTTCAGAGTACCTGCACTCTACTTCCTACCTCCAGGACTCTCTTTAGAGTACCCAGCACTCTACTTCCTACCTCCAGGACTCTCTTCAGAGTACCCGCACTCTACTTCCTACCTCCAGGACTCTCTTCAGAGTACCCGTTCTCTACTTCCTACCTCCAGGACTCTCTTCAGAGTACCCGCTCTCTACTTCCTACCTCCAGGACTCTCTTTAGAGTACCTGCACTCTACTTCCTACCTCCAGGATTCTCTTCAGAGTACCCGCACTCTACTTCCTTCCTCCAGGACTCTCTTCCGAGTACCCGCACTCTACTTCCTACCTCCAGGACTCTCTTCAGAGTACCCGCTCTCTACTTCCTACCTCCAGGACTCTCTTCAGAGTACCCGCTCTCTACTTCCTACCTCCAGGACTCTCTTTAGAGTACCTGCACTCTACTTCCTACCTCCAGGATTCTCTTCAGAGTACCCGCACTCTACTTCCTTCCTCCAGGACTCTCTTCCGAGTACCCGCACTCTACTTCCTCCACCTCATCGGACTCTCTTCAGAGTACCCCCTCTACTTCCTACCTCCAGGACTCTTCAGAGTACCCGCTCTCTACTTCCTACCTCCAGGACTCTCTTTAGAGTACCTGCCCCTCTACTTCCTACCTCCAGGACTCTCTTTAGAGTACCTGCACTCTACTTCCTACCTCCAGGATTCTCTTCAGAGTACCCGCACTCTACTTCCTACCTCCAGGACTCTCTTCAGAGTACCTGCACTCTACTTCCTACCTCCAGGACTCTCTTCAGAGTACCCGCACTCTACTTCCTACCTCCAGGACTCTCTTCAGAGTACCCGCACTCTACTTCCTACCTCCAGGACTCTCTTTAGAGTACCTGCACTCTACTTCCTACCTCCAGGACTCTCTTCAGAGTACCTGCACTCTACTTCCTACCTCCAGGATTCTCTTCAGAGTACCTGCACTCTACTTCCTACCTCCAGGATTTTCAATCCTATTAATAAACGTTATCTGGACATATTTAATGTGTGTACACAAAAAAATATTTGGAAGTCACAAGCAAATCTGACGATTAATTAATTTACCCCCTTCCCCCCCAAAAAAAATCCCTCGAGCAGCAGTAAAATTCAAAACGACAAAAAATTGGCTGTAACAAAATTTCTGATGAAGAGGGTTAACCCATTCTGGACGTCTATAATCTCTGAAACAGTCCCCCCCCCACGTCATAGAACTATTTAGATATTAATGGAGTTAATGGTAATTATTATATAAACAATGGAAACCAGAGAACACTGTATTTATTATAGACTAAACATTGAAGACGGAGCACCTCGAGTTTATCTCTATAACTACAAGAAGAATAGTTACTAATTGAGAATTACACATAAATAATTACCGGGAGGAGGATTATAGGGACGAGGATAAGAGAGGCTAGGATAGACGCCCACACCTCGCCACTGAGGGGATAGTAGAGGCTCTGCCAGCGAGGTTTGAGGGAAGGTTTAGCCATACTGAAGCCTAGGGTAGCCCTCTCGATGAAGAAGGAGTAGTCGTAGATCTTCTGAAGGTGCGGCATGATTGCTAGCTTCATGGGAGACATGAAGGCTTCTCGGCGCTCCAGACGAGACATCACCTGAAAGAGAATAAACTTAGGTTACTTTCAGGCGACTTAGACGCATCAGGAGGCGAAGGTTACATAGAGCTGAAGGTGATCAATTCGAATTATCTTCTGAAAATATTTCTTGCTCGTAACTCTGGGCTTCGCCAAAACCACCTGCAATAACGTTGGTCAGAGTCAGAACATTAATTGTTTCTGTCAAACCACGTTTGTGATCCTGACCATCTTCCCACTGCTGTCGGGTTTGGGCAGCTGTATTCTCTCCATGACAAGTGGGACTCACACGACTTACACACAGATACAACATGTAAACACTACCAACACCACTTTGTAAGAACTTCCCGGTCTTACTGTCAGGTCTTATTTATCAGCGGGAATGTAAGATTCACCTCCGTCATCAACAGCGTCCTAACACACTCACTAACTGGCTTCCTCGCTGACAGTTCCAACTTTAACACAAACTCACTCTACACCTACTTTAACACCCACCTCCGCTGACCCCTGTCTCTTTCACACCTACACTGTTACAAGAACTATATAGATGCCATGCATAAAATAAATATATATCTATTATTGATGAATTAGAAACATGTGCAACACTTGGGTATCTTTACTGAAGAAACGTTTCGCCACACAGTGGCTTCATCAGTCCTATACAAAGAGGAATGATGAAGATCAGAAGGTTGATGTAATCTGTCTCTCAGCCTGGAGTCGATGTAATCAGTCCATTAGTCTTTTCAAGATTGATGAACAGATTACCTAAAACTCCTGATTTTCATCATTCTTCTTTGTATGGACTGATGAAGTCATTGTGGGGCGAAACGTTTCCTCAGTAAAGATACCCAAGTGTTGCACATGTGTCTAATTTGTCAACTTGTCGGTTGTCTGTACCAAATCTATAATTATTATTGCATTACAGAATGGTCGCCACGAGTATATATCTCTGCTCCTGAAGCTATAACCACTGACGACGGGACACCAGAAGCTCTACTAAAGTAGCTACAATTATAATTACTACACCGACCTCTTCCCATTCTCTGTAAGGCAGGACGTTGATGGAGAAGTTGAGTGCTGCTGCCAGCGCCTCCACGACAAGGTAGTCTCTGCCGCTCTTATGGGATACTGAACCACCGTCAGGACCTTCCTGTTGCACGTCCATCCAGTACGGAGGGAAGGGAAACACTGTCATATTGACCTCTGACCCCTGGAAGCTGTTGAAGGAAGAGTTTCAGTCACACATAATAGAAAACAGGAGGGGCGAATCAACTTAAAATAGTACACAAATAAGCCGAACGTAGAGGACTGAAACTCGTTACGACGCTTCGGTCCGACTCGAATCATCTCACGTAAGTTAATTAACAATAAAGTGTATTTAAGAAGCCAATATTACATCTAGTGGAAGTTCATTGTCTGGAAAACTACTGTTGCTCAACAACACCGACGAAGGTGAGTCTGTAATAACATAGATCTGACCAGAACTGGTGCTGTGAAGTTCTTGTCTTCGTTATTAAGTAACGAAGCAGAAATACCCATTGGTTCTGTTTCGTTATTCAGATAATATTTTCTGCTAACGTCATGTATCATTCGTGGACACTGACTTACTCTTCATACTTCTCTGGGAAGAGTGTGTTGTTTTTGTTGAGTGTGAGACCTCTTGAAGGTGTCCAGGAGGCCACCTTCACCACCTGAGCACCAGCTTGACTGTAGGGCAGGTAGACATGAGCCTCACACCTGTAGCAAGGAGACATGACCAAGGATAGGGGGTGTACTCTCCTCTAGAACCTGCTCTCTCTCTTTATATGATGCACTACGACATTCCATCCCACACACTTCACTAAGACTTTAAAGGGCTCTTGGGAAAATGTCACCAGCCTACCGCCAGTCTTGAAAATTTTTCTTGTAAGGTCTAGTATCAGTGTTTTGAATTTCAGGTTTTGTTAACAAATGCCCAACACCTTCACGCAGTCCCTGATCTGCTGCTACCTGCCTTCACGCGGTCCCTGATCTGCTGCTACCTGCCTTCACGCGGTCCCTGATCTGCTGCTACCTGCCTTCACGCGGTTCCTGATCTGCTGCTACCTGCCTTCACGAGTCCTGATCTGCTGCTACCTGCCTTCACGCGGTCCCTGATCTGCTGCTACCTGCCTTCACGCGGTCCTTGATCTGCTGCTACCTGCCTTCACGCGGTCCCTGATCTGCTGCTACCTGCCTTCACGCGGTCCTGATCTGCTGCTACCTGCCTTCACGCGGTCCCTGATCTGCTGCTACCTGCCTTCACGCGGTCCCTGATCTGCTGCTACCTGCCTTCACGCAGTCCCTGATCTGCTGCTACCTGCCTTCACGCGGTCCCTGATCTGCTGCTACCTGCCTTCACGCGGTCCCTGATCTGCTGCTACCTGCCTTCACGCAGTCCCTGATCTGCTGCTACCTGCCTTCACGCGGTCCCTGATCTGCTGCTACCTGCCTTCACGCGGTCCCTGATCTGCTGCTACCTGCCTTCACCCAGTCCCTGATCTGCTGCTACCTGCCTTCACGCGGTCCCTGATCTGCTGCTACCTGCCTTCACGCGGTCCCTGATCTGCTGCTACCTGCCTTCACGCAGTCCCTGATCTGCTGCTACCTGCCTTCACGCAGTCCCTGATCTGCTGCTACCTGCCTTCACGCAGTCCCTGATCTGCTGCTACCTGCCTTCACCCAGTCCCTGATCTGCTGCTACCTGCCTTCACCCAGTCCCTGATCTGCTGCTACCTGCCTTCACCCAGTCCCTGATCTGCTGCTACCTGCCTTCACCCAGTCCCTGATCTGCTGCTACCTGCCTTCACGCAGTCCCTGATCTGCTGCTACCTGCCTTCACGCAGTCCCTGATCTGCTGCTACCTGCCTTCACCAGTCCCTGATCTGCTGCTACCTGCCTTCACGCGGTCCCTGATCTGCTGCTACCTGCCTTCACGCAGTCCCTGATCTGCTGCTACCTGCCTTCACCCAGTCCCTGATCTGCTGCTACCTGCCTTCACGCAGTCCCTGATCTGCTGCTACCTGCCTTCACGCAGTCCCTGATCTGCTGCTACCTGCCTTCACGCGGTCCCTGATCTGCTGCTACCTGCCTTCACGCAGTCCCTGATCTGCTGCTACCTGCCTTCACGCAGTCCTGATCTGCTGCTACCTGCCTTCACCAGTCCCTGATCTGCTGCTACCTGCCTTCACGCAGTCCTGATCTGCTGCTACCTGCCTTCACGCAGTCCCTGATCTGCTGCTACCTGCCTTCACGCAGTCCCTGATCTGCTGCTACCTGCCTTCACCCAGTCCCTGATCTGCTGCTACCTGCCTTCACGCAGTCCCTGATCTGCTGCTACCTGCCTTCACGCAGTCCCTGATCTGCTGCTACCTGCCTTCACGCGGTCCCTGATCTGCTGCTACCTGCCTTCACGCAGTCCCTGATCTGCTGCTACCTGCCTTCACGCGGTCCCTGATCTGCTGCTACCTGCCTTCACGCAGTCCTTGATCTGCTGCTACCTGCCTTCACGCAGTCCCTGATCTGCTGCTACCTGCCTTCACGCAGTCCCTGATCTGCTGCTACCTGCCTTCACGCAGTCCCTGATCTGCTGCTACCTGCCTTCACGTAGTCCCTGATCTGCTGCTACCTGCCTTCACGCAGTCCCTGATCTGCTGCTACCTGCCTTCACGCAGTCCCTGATCTGCTGCTACCTGCCTTCACGCAGTCCCTGATCTGCTGCTACCTGCCTTCACGTAGTCCCTGATCTGCTGCTACCTGCCTTCACGCGTCCTGATCTGCTGCTACCTGCCTTCACGCAGTCCCCTTTATCTGCTGCTACCTGCCTTCACCAGTCCCTGATCTGCTGCTACCTGCCTTCAACTAGTCCCTGATCTGCTGCTACCTGCCTTCACCGCAGTCCCTGATCTGCTGCTACCTGCCTTCACCGGTCCCTGATCTGCTGCTACCTGCCTTCACGCGGGCCCTGATCTGCTGCTACCTGCCTTCACGTAGTCCCTGATCTGCTGCTACTGCCTTCACGCAGGGCCCTGATCTGCTGCTACCTGCCTTCACGCAGTCCCTGATCTGCTGCTACCTGCCTTCACGCGGTCCCTGATCTGCTGCTACCTGCCTTCACGCAGTCCCTGATCTGCTGCTACCTGCCTTCACCAGTCCTGACTCGCTCGCCTTCACCGTCCTGATCTGCTGCTACCTGCCTTCACGCAGTCCTGATCTGCTGCTACCTGCCTTCACCGGTCCTGATCTGCTGCTACCTGCCTTCACGCGGTCCCTGATCTGCTGCTACCTGCCTTCACACAGTCCCTGATCTGCTGTACTGCCTTCACCGTCCTGACCTGCTGCTACCTGCCTTCACAGTCCCTGATCTGCTGCTACCTGCCTTCACGCGGTCACTGATCTGCTGCTACCTGCCTTCACGCAGTCCCTGATCTGCTGCTACCTGCCTTCACCCAGTCCCTGATCTGCTGCTACCTGCCTTCACGCAGTCCCTGATCTGCTGCTACCTGCCTTCACGCAGTCCCTGATCTGCTGCTACCTGCCTTCACCAGTCCTGATCTGCTGCTACCTGCCTTCACGCAGTCCCTGATCTGCTGCTACCCGCCTTCACCAGTCCTTTATCTCGCTGCTACCTGCCTTCACGCCAGTCCCTGACTCTGCTGCTACCTGCCTTCACACAGTCCTGACCATGCTGCTACCTGCCTTCACGCAGTCCCTGAACTGCTGCTACCTGCCTTCACCAGTCCCTGACTCTGCTGCTACCTGCCTTCACACAGTCCCTGAACTGCTGCTACCTGCCTTCACGCAGTCCCTGATCTGCTGCTACCTGCCTTCACCCAGTCCCTGATCTGCTGCTACCTGCCTTCACACAGTCCCTGACCCACTGCTGCTACCTGCCTTCACACAGTCCCTGACCCACTGCTGCTACCTGCCTTCACGACCATGTGCTACTGCCTTCACCGTCCCTGACTGCTGCTACCTGCCTTCACGCAGTCCCTGATCTGCTGCTACCTGCCTTCACGCAGGTCCTCCCACTGCTGCTACCTGCCTTCACGCAGTCCCTGATCCTGCTGCTACCTGCCTTCACGCAGTCCCTGACCCCTGCTGCTACCTGCCTTCACACGGTCCCTGATCTGCTGCTACCTGCCTTCACAGCAGTCCCTGACACTGCTGCTACCTGCCTTCACCAGTCCCTGACCACTGCTGCTACCTGCCTTCACGCAGTCCCTGATCTGCTGCTACCTGCCTTCACACAGTCCCTGACACTGCTGCTACCTGCCTTCACCAGTCCCTGATCATGCTGCTACCTGCCTTCACCAGTCCCTGAACTGCTGCTACCTGCCTTCACGCAGTCCCTGACACTGCTGCTACCTGCCTTCACCAGTCCCTGAACTGCTGCTACCTGCCTTCACGCAGTCCTGACTGCTGCTACCTGCCTTCACGCAGTCCCTGAATCTGCTGCTACCTGCCTTCACCAGTCCCTGATCTGCTGCTACCTGCCTTCACGCAGTCCCTGATCTGCTGCTACCTGCCTTCACGCAGTCCCTGACCACTGCTGCTACCTGCCTTCACCAGTCCCTGACATGCTGCTACCTGCCTTCACGCGTCCCTGAACTGCTGCTACCTGCCTTCACGCCTGACCCTACTGCTGCTACCTGCCTTCACCCAGTCCCTGAACTGCTGCTACCTGCCTTCACGCGTCCCCGACCACTGCTGCTACCTGCCTTCACCAGTCCCTGAACTGCTGCTACCTGCCTTCACCAGTCCCTGACCTGCTGCTACCTGCCTTCACACAGGTCCCTGACCTGCTGCTACCTGCCTTCACACAGTCCCTGACTCTGCTGCTACCTGCCTTCACGCAGTCCCTGATCCTGCTGCTACCTGCCTTCACCAGTCCCTGATCTGCTGCTACCTGCCTTCACCAGTCCCTGACCCCTGCTGCTACCTGCCTTCACACAGTCCCTGACCCATGCTGCTACCTGCCTTCACACAGTCCCTGATCTGCTGCTACCTGCCTTCACGCAGTCCTGACCCATGCTGCTACCTGCCTTCACGCAGTCCTGAATCTGCTGCTACCCGCCTTCACACAGGTCCCTGAATTGCTGCTACCTGCCTTCACGCAGTCCCTGACCCACTGCTGCTACCTGCCTTCACGCAGTCCCTGATCTGCTGCTACCTGCCTTCACGCAGTCCCTGACCCATG